TCGGGGGGGGGGGGGGAAGAATTCTTAGTGACATAGGTTTTCATAATATTTGAATTTTCATGCATTAAGAACTTCAATTATTCATTATTTTACGCAAAACTTTGCACTTTATATTACAATTTAAAAAACCATAAGTATATTTATTGCCTTTACAGTTTCTTTAGAAAAATTTTTAATACCAAAATATATTAAATATTAAGTTAAATAATTTTATTTTCTGCCATATACGTATGAAGTTGAACGTTCCAAGTTATAAAATTAATCAAAAAGAAAAAAATTGGAGAATTAAAAAAGTAAGTGAATATTTAGCATTCAATACATAATTATTAACCATACATTTCGATACATAATTATTAACCATACAATTCGATACATAAATATACTTATTGATACATTATTACACAATATTATACATAATGTATACTATAGAAATAAAATTCCTCAACATTAACGTAATAAATACAGAAGCAAATATCTTAATAAATTTAAATTTCAAGTTAGGCCTTAACTTACCCAAAGAATACTTCGAAATAGTAAAATTTTCTTGTGGTATCAATTTTAACCATTTATGTATGCATGTTGCTTAGGAAATCTATATACTGACACTTTAGGACCGTCAGTATAATTTCCTCGGCATACCGGCACACAGCACTTTAAAGGCAGAATGGAAATCGAAGAAAAATATCAATATGAAATTAAGAAGACTTGATTCACTAACATGCCTTCTCACGACCAAGGACGAAATTTCCCTAACTTGCTAATGCCATCTAGATGGCCTTGGTTAAGGAGCAATCTTTCACACCGCACTGAGAAGGCCAACAGTTTGTGGCGTCACTAAACTACGAGCCTTCAGTAGGGAGGCTTGTATTTCAGAAGGTGTTGGCGGTGTCTGTTGCTTCATATTCTTGTCTTTAATTAGCTTATCTCTTAGCAAATAAGCATTTATATTTCCTTTTTCATTTACAAAACTTCCTTGCTATAGTCCAACCTACAATTCAGTTGTCAGTGTAAGTAACCTGGCATCAGAAATTGTTTCTGTCGCATTTTTCCTCTTTTTCTTAAGTACTTTCATCTTCATCACTGCCTGTATATGCATTTCTCTCAGGAATTTAGACTATTTCATATCAGAATCAGTGTAATGAGAAACTACAGGCACTCAAAAAATGAAATACCAAGCAAAAGCCACTATTAATTTCTAAATCCCATTACCAGTGAAAAAGAATATAGTGAACAGTGTAATGATGCTTTAAAAATTATAATTCACTTTGCTTATGTGTATCTACATGAGAGAGAATTTTAATCTTTTAATTCAAATAATCAACTTAAATGTATTTGCCAATCTAAAGCTTGAGTGTATTAACATTTATTTAATTTTTAGTTAACTAGGTAAAGATTATCCAAAATTCAATAGCCTTCAATTATTAAAAATGAATATAGATTTTCTTCTATTAATTCAATTGATTAATATCGATGTAATATTAGATGTATTTTAATTGAGAGAAACTTGCCAAAGTAAACTTAAAATTAACAAAACAACAATTAAATTCTGTGCCAAACATAAGTTTTGTTGTTTTGCCTAACTTTAAGCATTTTAATTAATTGTATTTTAAATATGTAAGTATACTAGTAGTATATATTTAAAATATTCCTTTTGAACAGGACAAGAGCAAAATTGGCTGTAGAAAATTTGAGAAATGCAGGCCTAAAATGAGAAGTATGTTATATTTTAGATCATGTTCACCTGAGCTACAGTGATCCCTAACTTCAGGAACAAAATATTTTTAAATTAATCCAGTGCAGCATCTGACCTTTTTTTTTTACTGACACAGTAATGGACAGGAAACTGTTCCTTTCAAAACCCTTAGATATAAACTTTAAACAAGTAACTTATACATCTGGGTACCTGCTGCATTAGGACAGTACATTACTGTGACACCATCGTTTGAAGCTTTAAATCACAGCAGTGATTCTGCATCCTCATTTGGCAAAGAATTTTTTTCCCATACATCTCCAAACAAGACAGTACCATCAGCATCATACTCTTATTCAAGGCCTAGACATTCATCATTACAAACTTTGCAAATTCATCCACATATGTGCTAACTACATCTTTATCTGCTGGAAGTTTTTAATCATACACCACACAAAACTGCAGGTCATGTCACAGCTTCAAACAATGCAGCTAACCTTCTGAATATTCCCACTTGGGTTCCAGTCTCAGCTCTTAAAGAAACTCTTCATCTGGTTCCTATGTTAAATCTGGGGGAATTTCTGCACCTTCACTTGCATTAAGATTAAACAAGAATGTGGAACTTGGTTCAGTTACAAACTTTCTTTCCATCAAGGACTTCCGTACGGCTATTTAATTTTCTGATTCACTGTCAGGAAAGAATTGAAGCCTGTTGAGGAGCCACTATCTTATGTCTGGCAAATGGCTTGCACAGACGCACTGCTAAAAGTTTTCATATTTCCAACTTTATCTGTGATGCATTGTGCAATATTTGTGTTTTATGCCATCTCTTCTCTGAATACGTAATGGGGCTATACAGCAGCAAATAAATGATAAATCAAAATAAGTAGGAATATCTGTCAGCATGTGCAAGCAATACTCAACAGCTATGCCTTTAGTTCAGAGCCATCAATACATAAACAGAGCCTCTAAAAAATAATAGCACAACAGTGTAGTAAATTTGAAAATGTGCTCGGAAATCTGAAAAAACTAACCATCAATGACCAGATTTTTTTATTTTCAACTTGTATTAAATGTTTTCGTCTTAGTAAGTTTAAAAATTTGCTTTGTAGTTCTGTAATTATTTGGGAAATAACTAAATGGAAATTGGGAAAAGCATCAGACTTTAAGCATGCGTTTTTTTAATATGATGAAAAACTATATTTAATTATTATATTAAGTCCGTTTTCTTATCCAATGAATTAATGTTTCAGAAAGTTTGTGTGATTTTATCCATTTGAATAAGTTGTCAGAAATAACTAAAATATCCATTAGAAAGAGATATTTTCTAAGGTGTGCAAATTTTGTATGAGTAGTATTTGTGGTCTACTTGTCTGTTTTGCTTTTATATGTTATTTATCAAAACAATGATTAATGGCTTCAGTCCAAAGTATTCCCTGTGTTATCATTATAAATAAAGCAGTTGTGTGTTGGGAAACATGTAAACTGTTAAAGTAAACCTTTGAAACAACTGAGGTACTGTTTGCAATATTGATAAATATGTTGACTGACATACAAATTAAAATACAAGTTCCTTTTCTTTCATAATTGAATCACTCTTTAAAAAAGCATGTTATTGCTACTTTCCAAAATCTGGTGTTTTAAAATTTGGAAGTAGTTGCTTCATTGAGCACAGAGTGTAAGCAAATGATGCTTTCATGTATATTTTTATTACAATGTGTGTGTTAAAAAAAAAATGAAGCTAACAGAGGCTAGTTTCCTGTCAAAAATTTCATTGAACCAAACTTCCAAAACAATTTGATGTTATTTTTCAAGCTAAGTGCTACTTTATTTAGATATTTCAAATGAAATAGAAACACGCCAATGCAAATTTTTAAACTGGGCAAGGAAAGCAATCTTAATTTACTGTAGATTTTGATTTCTTTGCCCATGAAGAAGATGGTCATGTGTTTGATTGTCCTTGAAAGTGATAGTTGTTTAAATGCTGATTTTAAATCCAGATATGTATCAAGTTTGAAGAACTGTGTTTTGTAATTTTTTTATAAAAGTATCCCACCTGCCTATCCAACGATCATTACATCTCATATTAACTTTGTTATCATCGTTGAACTGAACCCTATGTAGATGTTTTGCAGAAAATGTTTGACTAAACAAGTCAAATTCATTAGATGCCAAGTCTGGGCTTGGAGGATCATAATCTCCCCTCGAATTTTTGCAGTAGAGAAGTTGAAGCATACTTGTTTGTATCTGTTCCTGGACATTATTATGGAGCAGGCATAGGCCATGTATCAACACCCTCCACACTTCCCCCCCCCTTGAATTGATCATTGAAATCACTGCAAGATTTACAGTATTTGTCGGCACTTATTGTTATACCAGGAGACATGAACTCAAGAAATCCATATCTTTTTCTGAAAATTTGAAACCATGTCTTTTTGGGCCGAAATTTAAGTTTTGGATTTGTGTAGTTAAGAAAAATGCTTATAGCTCAATTAAAGTGATTTTTATTGAATTCAGATGTGTGGTTAAAGAAAACACACCCTTGTTTCATCCGCAGAAATTCTGGAGTGTGCCCAGAAAATTGAGTGCTTAATCATTCTTATTCATTTTGTTTTCTTCGGTTAATATGCCTGATTTTTCAAAAATCAAAGTCTGAGAAAACATTTACGTCAGTCCTTTATCTTCTCAGGCCAATTGATTTTTTTTAATTCTGTCTTCAGTAGCGAGTTGGATTATAGGTTGCCTGTTGCTTCTCTGTTCATCATAAATAGCTATGCTGCCTTTCTAAGATTCACTTCAACACATTGTATCACTTCATAGTGGCACTATAAACAGTGTAAATTTATCTGTCTCTGAGTTTCCACTGATAACTTGCCTGTTGCAGTGAGAAACTTTCCATTTAGCAGAATTCTGCACCACTGCTGCCTTTGTCTTATTTAATAAAATCTAGTGCAATAGTATTAAATAAATGTGAGAGTTAAAGAACAGGTTTAAGTGGCAGTGATTGCTGCAATTCTGTATGTAACAGCACCTGCATTTTTATTTGGGAGTACACTTATTTTAACTTGGTTTCTCCCCTCATAAGGAACTTCATTGTTAATTTAGGTGGAACATAGATAAATGTAGTATATATATGATAAGAGAACATCCAATTTACTGGATTAAAGTCTTCATTGGTGTGGTGGAAAACTGTTTGCTTAAAATGTACAGAACAACATTGAATCGCTTAACTGCCCAAGAAATTTAGCTTTATCAATATTTCCTATAATTCTTCATTAATTGTATTGATTGTGTGTTATTTTTCTTCCAGTGTAACGGTCACGTTCCTCTTATGAGTATTGATAATTCAGATTCTGTACAAGTGTTTTTACCTAAAGAAGCCCGTGGTATTGAGATTATTTCTTCTAAATCATCATCCTGCAATGTATGCCTGTTAGAACCTGATGGAACTTATGTAAGTTTTCTTGAGATTTCATTTCTGAGACTGTTTTTCTTTTATTTTCAGCATCTCACCCTATAATGTGTTCAAATACTGTCTGTAATAGGGAAAAATACATGTGTGGTCAAATCAGTTTTATTTAGTTTTATTAATTACATTTAATTGCAGTAAACATTCGTAAAACATTTTATGCAGATTCAGCAAGTAATCAATTAATGTTTAATTTTGTTTTCCTTTAGTATATGGTACTTTAGTAAGTTTATCCACATAATAATATGTGAATTAATTTTATGTTCATCGTATTTAAAATTACTATCATAAATCAAAGCTCTACTTCCCTGTTCAATATTTTCTCAGTATGATTGTGTAAGAAAATCACAAAATGAAACTAACCAAATAACAAAAAGGTTAGAATAACTAATTAAATACCGGGCTCACCAGCAGCTGAGCAGTAAAATCTCTGAACACTGATAGTTCAGTTTGAATCCCACAAACAGGCTGGCTGCATGAGCATTTTTGTGTTTTTCTCCATGTGTAGCGTGTATGTGAGCCAGTTTCCCTTAGAAAGTCCTTCATGAAGGCTTTCATTCCCTTAGGCAGATAGCCCTTAAGTTTTTGCTGTAAACACACAAACCAAACCAATTAAATACTGATACATTTTACATCAAAATCATGTTATAAATAGTTCAGTAACCTAATGCAGTATGAAGTCAGTCTAGAGTTACTTAAAAATTGTGGTGGTGTTCTGTACGTGAATTTTCTGGTAACACCAGGTTTTGATGTGAGAAAGTTCATTTTCCAAAATTTAAGGTTGGTAATTATGGAATTGTTAACCATCTGATTTTAAATTTTTGCTTAACACGTTGAGCCCGGCACCGAATTTTGCTGTCCTTTTCAGCCGGCACAAGCAGTCAAGCGGTGCAATGTTGCAGTGTGATCTGCGACTTCATGCACTGAGTAGAACTTATCTGTTGGTGAGCTTTATCGTCTACTGACATAAAAACCCTGCCTGTGCGTGACAAAGCTCGTGGTCACGAATGTTAATACTGTTGGTCCCGTGGATCGACGCCAGCCAAACAAAAATTCCAGTGCCGATCCCTAGGGACTAAATGGAAAGTTCACTACCGGTCCTTAGCGACCAGCACTGGGCTCAACGTATTAATTATCAGCTCTATAAGCTGTCATTCACATAAGTTTCAGAAAATTTAAAAAAAAAAAAAAATGAGACCCATGAGTTTAAAAAAGGAATTACAACTTGATGACCTGAAATAATTATAAATTAGACAGTAATAACAGACTTTAAGAATGAGTTCCTCAGAAATTAAAAGTAAGTGCAACTTAGAATCTGGTATTTAAAGTGAACTGCTCAAAATGGCAAAACCAAACAGTAGAGGAAAATATTGCAATAACGATTCTTCATCATAAATTAATGTCTCATGCTGACTTGTGCATTTATTTTTAATTAAAAAGGAGTTAACTGTATCTTTGCTATAGCCTTGCATAAAACATAAAATGTTTTAAAGAAAATTATAGTTACCACAAATTATATATGAATAACAACTGATATGGAATTGGATACCAGGGAGAAAAGCAAATTAATGAATTTAAGACCTGTTACTTAAAATTAGAGTAGTCATGATTTGATTAATTGACTATAGTAAAGTGTGCATGTATTTCCTTGTTATATAAGATCTTTAGTTAAGTATGTGTTGCATATATTTTAAAATGTCATTTTAATATACTTATTTAATTGCATTTTAAACATATAAATTATTTAATGTAATCTGTAACATCTTTTTCTAGAATGCAGTGAACAAAATGTTAAAAAGGCACTGATGTTTCAAACAGTTAAAAATTCAGTTTTAATTATAGTAAGAAATATGAGTAGACTTGATACTGATTCAGCAACTCAATTCAATAATCATTAACAAACATACCATTTAATTTGTCAACCACAGGCCATATTAAATTGCTAGTTTGTAAGAGTTGCCATTCTGCATGGCAGACCTAATTTGTTTCGTATCTTTACAGACTGAGCAATTAAAAGAATATTTTTGTGCAGTAATTTTAATCTGTATTTTATTTTGTAATAATAAATGTAATTGAATTAATATAATGCATATAATTTTTATTAAATACATGCACATTTATAATTTTTACAAAATTTTATTGCAATTAAAAAGAAGATAATTTAATACCATATATTAAACTTCATTAAATCACTTATGTTGCCTAGTAGTAAATTTGCACTTTGAGTTGTATTTCTTTAAATTTTTCATAATATTAAATTAAACAGAAATGTAATTGTCAATTAATTCATGTGGAAATTATGCGTAGTTTAATAAATATTTTTATTTCTTAGACTGAATTCCCGGTGCCTGAGCAAATCAAGACAGTTGTTGTAGGTGGACAAATTACATCAACTGTTGTTGAAAATAATTGATTTGTTAGTTAATAATATGTGCTGTTTGGTTTTTCTTCCTTTAGTTTATGTAAGAGGTTGTGAAATTTTTCAGTGCAGTTGTTCATTTCATAGACTGGATAAAATATAAATTTTTTTGCTGAACTAAACTCATTTTGATACATTATTCTTTGTTCCAATGCGTAAAATTTGTATTCATTTTTGATGTTTTTGATAACTTTGTATTTTCTTTGTGTATGTAAGTAAAAGTATTAACATCTAATTTCTGATGCATCTGGCTCACTCATTGTAACATTTCATTAATTTGTAAGTTTGGAGTAATAAAGTTTGAATTTCCATACTCTTACTGTTTGCTGAGTAATTAATGTATGTATGTGACCTTTTTAATACATATTTTGATTCTGTTTTAATACAGACTATTTATTGTGCCATTTATTCTTATTCCTCAACATTCAAAAGATTTGAGAGTTCTAATCTATGGAATAATTTCAAGAATGCTATCCAAACGTAATTATGCAATAAAAAAAATAACTTTTTCTGAAAAATCAGAAATGTTTTTAAAAAAGTATATATTAGTCTTCCTAAATAAAAGCTTTCACCTAGGTTATTGAGTTAAAACATTACAAATATTGAATATAATAAATATTCTGTGTGTTAGTGTATTATATACTGCACTACTAAGGAAAGCAATGTAAAATATTTTGTAAATATTGGTCCTTATGCATTTAATGCTTATAGAACTGACGATAGTTTGGTCTTTCCTGACTTTGTCACTCTGTGGGTCTGAGTTCAACGATGTTGAAGTTGCAACTTGACATGCAACTGGATAAACCAGCACATATTTTGCTTCGAACCTCGAACAATGGCAGCATTCTGGGCAGGGTCTTCTAGATAGGGCATCAGCATTTTTGTGTGTCAGTCCTTTCCGATGATTAATTGTGATGTCATATTCCTGCAGTCTGTGTTTCAACCTAAGGTCTTGTGATGGAAGAAACATCCACAAATCTATAATAGGTGCAAATCCCCATGAAAGTTCTCAGCTGATTAACATTTTGGGGCATCTCTAATCTTTTAACTGCTCACATTTTTCTGAATCTGTATGCAACCTTCAGCAAGGATGATATGTCCAAGGTTCTTGTCTGAACAGTTTATATTTGGCAGGACTAAACTTTAGATTGGCTTCCTTCAATTTCCAAAGCACTTTCTTAATATTTTCGAAATGCTCTTCAAAATTTTTTTGTTATCAACGATGTCATTCAAGTATATCGGCAAGCTTTGTAGGAAGGACATTTAAGCACAGTCTCCATGAGGTGTTCGAACAATGCATCACATTGCATAGTCTAAACACCACCTTGAAATGCCAAAATCCGTGTGTCGTAGTAAATGCAGTCTTTTCTCAATTATCAAAGGTGTATCTACTTGTCACTAATTAAGCATCGAAAACCACCTGCTTACAGAAATAGTATCCAGAATGTCATCAATTCTACAAAGTGGGTAGCTGTCTTTTTTCATGACGTTGTCCAATTGGCGATAGTTAATACAAAATTTAGTTTAGCCATCTTTCTGACGAGGATGATGAGAGATCCCCAAAGACTTACTGAAGGCTCAATAAATGTCACATTCTTGCATGTCCTTTCAGAGGCTAGATGGCTTGGAGTTTGTGTGATTGGTGTATCAATTTTAAGCTGTGCCAAACTGGTTCAACCCAACTTGAAGATTTGTGGGAGAAAACATCTTGATTCTCAACATGATCTACAGCACTCCTCTCTTTATCACATAGTCATGCATTCTGCAATAGCTCCAATGTTAGGCTCTCTGAAGATTGTTTAACGCAGTCACTGGAATACATGCTGCAACCACTTTGCTCTTCCTTATCACTTGACTTCCTCATGACTTTCACCTTATCACTTGCACTGACAACTCTCACCGGATGGTAGTCTTTGATAGGTTGTGAGTCCTGATGCTAATAGTAATCCATTGAGGCTGTTCCAGTTCTTAGAGTAGTCCATTATGCCTTACCAGAAATTTCTGTTTTCAGCTCTGGATGCTAGTTAAAATTCTGTTCTTGCTGATACTGTGATATCTTGAGCTATTATTTGGTGGGCTGGTTTAAGGTGACATTAGTCTTTCGACATCTGTAATGACCTCTGGAGTGTTTCCGTGGACCTGTCTTCAGTAGTCTTTAAAACACTTTTTGCTAACATGCCAGATAGAGCTTCAAGATCTAGCCTCTGGTTTTTGAGCAATTTGCGTCTACTCCGAGAGAAGCGGTGAGCTGTCAGGACTTAGTTTCGGAATACTAGCCATTTTTAGTTGCAGTTTTAGTGAACTGAGTCTTGTACACCTGTCAGGTTTTCCAGATTATGTGCTTTTTCAAGTGGGAGAAGGCATAATAGAAGATTGCAGATGGCTCTAATTCTTCTGATATGCCTTCTTTCTCAAAAAAATTGCATGATATTTGTCAAAATATCTTCTCTCTCATGTAAGCGAGTGCTTAGTGACAGATTGCAGCCTCATTTCAGCTGTGTCATAGTTATCATGGAGAGGATGTCCCACTTTCCAGGGTAAAGTCATCTCGTAGCCATTGACACTGTTAACAGTTAAAAGTTTCCTTGAAATGCATTATTCATCTTCGAGCACCCTTTTGCTTTTGTATTCAATTGGATCATGGATGCCCAAATTTTGAACTCCATCTCTTTCACCTGAAAGTTTTTTAGGCAGAGTTTGATGCTGTCAACTATTTCTGTTTTCTTCCCGAGACCTAGAATAGTCCAGTCAAGCAATAGTCCAGTGTCTATAGCTGAAACTTCTGATAATAATATCTGAATTCTGGTAGTTTAAATTCTTCCTAAAATATATGTGCCAATGAGAACTCTTTTTGTGGTGATCTATATCCAACATCTGGAAGTGTTATTCTATGAGCTTTCATCTAGAGTCATGTTGGAAGCTCTCCTACAATGTTTACTAAGGTGTGGATGATCGCAAAAAAATACATTTAGCCTTTTCATGCATGGACGAAATAAGAGCTGAAACAGAAGGGATATTATTTCTTGAAATATCAACTTTCCTTTTAACCTTTACTTGGGCAGTGATCACATCTGGGTTACCATTGGGTTTTTATTTTGTATGTACCCAGGACAACAAGACATACTGTAATCTAGATAAAATATTTTGTAACTTATGTAAGAGTTCTAAGTTAGTAAAAGTGCCTTGGTACGAAATGAAATATTTAGTTTATGACTATAAGAGTCTTCTGTGTCCCTTCTCTTGAGGAGTTACAACATGTGGATAGCTTTAAAGAGGGTTGAGAAGACTTGGGTAGAAATGTAAAGCCATCAGAATTGCATCTCGTGGATATCTTAACTTCCGAACCACTTGCAGCAGCTGCGCCAAACAGGCGATACAAACTCAAAAATTCTAGAGAAAACCACCAAGTTTCAAATGACAGTAAATCTGTATGGCATTCCTACGGGCTGACAGAGATGAGTGTTTCCCAGGCAGTCTAATCTGCCTTCACCTTGATATGTAAATTTTGGCATCTACATCTGTGTTGGGACCATGCTCTTTCTTAATGTATCTATGGTACTGTTCCTTTTAAATCTCGTGATTAATGCTATATGCCTATCTCAATTACGATTGCTGTTTTACCAGGTAATGTTATCGATACTTTTGTAGGCACGTGTTACTCGCTCGGACCTCGCACTTTAACCATTGTTCCGAAGTCTGTATGTTGAAACCTAGATGCGTTGGACCTCATAAAATGGAAAATTGTATAACCAAGCATCTGGATATGGTAAAATGCTGCAATTGTGGCCTGATAGGACATACAGCCAACTATCGTGGGTGCCTGAAATTTCCTTCAAGAAATGTACCTGGCAATGCTAGTAATGTTCAGATAACAAAACCTAATGTAAATACAGTCAAATACCGAAAATCCACATTGCCTCTCAAAATATAAACATTTAGTTTATAGGTTCCGGAAACCACAACACTGAGTACGAAATATCGAAGAAAAAAATGCTTACCGAATAATAATGAGTCATAACGGAAATACCAAATTATTGACATAAAAAAAGTTTAAAATAAATAAGATAGTTTTTTTCCTTCTAATCTGCATCAAGGTAAAAAAGCAGACGATTCACTCAACTCTTCATACAAGTTCACGTTGTATTTTCTGAGCTTTATTATTTCACAAGATTGTTTGGTGCTGCCTTTTTTTTTATCTGAATATTTTGTGAATCAATTAAGAATATTTTAAATTTCAGCCCTTTTTAATACAATGACAGATAAGAAACGCACTCGTGATTTTACTGCTTGCAACGTTGGCACGTTACATTGACGGTAACGCAAATTCTGCAAAAGATGGAGGCAGGTGCTACTCTTCGATTTATAGCAGAATGGTATGGAATTGCAACTCGATTGTGTATGATATAAAGAAAAGCTCTTACATTTTATAGCAACAGTGATTCTAACACCAGAAATCGGCAAACCTCGATGCTGTGTATATATTGTTGTGAAATGTACAGCCGCTGTAAGATGGCTTCCCCCCCCCCCCGCAAAGCAGTTAAAGGGTTGCCATAAAATGGCAAGGGAAGGCAGGGTTGCTGCATTTGGCGATATGCTATGGACGGATGGAGAACCTTCTGGAACGAATTCTTACCGGTTTAGTCCAGATTGTTCTCGAACACAAGCCGAAAACTATATAAACCCTGCTGGTTCGCAGTCAGTTAGAGTGTGCCTCGTCGAGAGGGCGAGAGTTGGTGTCTCGTCTAGTGAGTCAATCCCTGTGGAGTCGATCGAGTTTACTCTGGTGCTTTGCAGTGAAGCTGTCTCCACCGCAATAGCCTGATAACCTGTAAGCTGTCTCAGCATGTTTATAGTAGTTCTTCGACGACTGCAAAACGTGACTTTGGAGCTGTCCTGATTAATACTGGCCAATAAAGTGTGTTTCGATCCTTCATCAAGTGTGATATAGATATTATTCAAGTTATCACGGATCATGGTAGATTCCCGGCCTATTTAAAACGTTTTAATCTCCAGGGCAATGATCGATGCTTGGAATTGCGGGAACTACGGAAATGCAGCTCATTTTCATGGAAGAATGTAAACTGTCCGACCGAGAGTATGAGGACGAGATTTGGAAAAATAAATGAACAGAATGTAATTGAGAAAAGAAAATTCTTGAATAGCTATGCAACAGAAATTATGAGGATTGTGAATGAAAACAAGACTATCATAGGAATAGGACATTAATTTTTTTTTTTTTTTTGCGTCGGGTGTGCTGTGTTAACCATGAGGCCGATTACTGTCGGCCAGGAGGGTTGCAGTATACTCATAAACTAAACT